TGTAGCCCATGTGTTAGTTGCGTGGTGTAGGACTTGCCATGAACGGCGTCGTCCCTGCGCCTTGTTGAGGGGAAGCGTTGGCCCTGCGCTTGTCGAAGGGCGTAGGCGGTGTAAGATTGCTACTGGTGACAGTCAGCAATGTGGTTTGCAGGTTGCTTTCAAAGTTTCAAGGGCCCGTTGAAGGGCTCTGCTACTTTTGTAAGTGCAGACTGTGTGTCGACTCACTGTGCAGGGATCACGGGTCTCCTTGCCAAAGCACTCCTTGCGTAGCCACTTTGTGACATCAGGCAAACTGATTCCTGAACCCAATCAGCAGTGAGCCACAGGGAAGGTTCTTCCCTGGGCAGCTGTAGCTGTTCCGGTCGTAGTTTCTTCCTAGTCCTTGAAGGTTAAGCTTCTTCCTTCCTTTTCACCTTAGTGCACGAAGGAGAAGTGCGGGCACCTCATCCTTTGGCACCCCTTTTTCGTTTCACCCAATCCCGTTGAGCACTGCTCCGGAAGGGCCTATTGCGCCGCGGACACCTCTCGCCGCACGGGAGATATAGGGCTGGGAGCTGAAAGGGCCTGTAGGGCCGAGGGTGTTAGGGGTTTTAGGGTCTAGGGTTTAGGGATAGGGCTTATAGGGTTCAGGGTTTAGCGATAGGGCTTATACGGTTTAGAGTTAAGGGTTTAGGGATAGGGGTTATAGGGTTGATACGGTTTCTCATGAGTTTTGCATGAAGAGTTGAAGAGGCACGAAGGCTTTGTGAGGAAGGTTCTGATAAGGTGTCAGTTGGACGCGTAGGCTTATTCACTGAGGTTCAGGTCGGGTGTACTGTAGTTCACTGCAGTGCTTATCAACATACCTACAGCCCTCAACCCAAATCCCTAATGTAGGAACCTGATGAAGAAACCCTGGCCCTAGAACCACAAAATGTTAAGATTCAAATTACAGAATCCTAATGAAGGACCCCGGGTTTCTTGCATAATGGGGTCCCCATACTAGTCCCTAACCCCTAAGCCCTAAACTCTAAACCCCCAAGCCCCTGAACTCTAAACCCTAAACCCCTAAACCCCTGAACTTCCCTAAACCCTACGCCCTAACCGTAAACCCCTAATCCCACAAGAGTTACATAGACTGTAGATCCCTTGACATCCCTCAAAACGTTGCATCTGTCGGTCCAATACCTTATAAAACCTATAATCTATTGTGAGGTTTCCTAAATTGTCTGAAGTCTGAAGTGCTCATATTATGAATCATATAATTGGAAGCGGGGAGGACTTGAACTTAGTCTGTCTGCAACGTCCAGTTGCAGGGGGCAGGGGGTTTGGAGTGCTGGCTTTACAGCTTCGGGTGTGGGGTCTAGCACCCCGGACGTCCCCCTACCTCAAAACTGCACGCAACTCCCCACCTGCCAAATTTCCTCCAAGGTCCTTAAGCAAAATTAATGGGCCCAGGTCTCTTGTGCCTTGCAAAGAGCCACAAGAACCTGGGCCCATTTTTCGGGCCCCATGCCCAAAACCAGCCTCAGAGAACCCGGCAGGAAAGTCACCATCCCCACCCGAACGTCGCAATCTCAGCAAGCCTATACAAGCCCGAGCCGCCGGAGCCCCAAGCCCTACATCAGAATCTAACCCCTAAAAGCAGTTCTGACACTCCCGGAAGCTGCCCGGTCCATTGAGATGAGGACTTTAAACCCTAAAACCCAAACCCTCAACCCTGAACACCACACCCTAAACCCTCAACCCCTGCACCCTAGACGGTCCTTTGAGATCAGGGATTTTACACCCTAAACCCTAAACCCCAAACCCTAAACCCCACACCCTAAACCCTAAACCCTAAACAGTCCTTTGAGATCAGGGATTTTACATGTTCGGCGGCTATCTCCGGAACATTTGGGCAGTCGAGGGCCAGATCCTGCGAAGGCGCGCGATTTTCGGATCCGAAGGACTCCTTTTCTCACGGTTTATAAGGGTTTGGGGTTTAAGGTCTAGGGTTTTAGGGTTTAGGGTTTAGGGTTTAGGGCTTAGGGCTTAGAGGGTTTAGGGTTTAGGGTTCGGGGGATGTGAGTGTAGGTTTTACAAGATCACATCTAGGGATACATGGGGTACTTAGTTTGGGGCGTTTTGGGGCTTTGCAGACTTTGGATGCACTGGTTCCTTGGCTTTGGAGGCTTTTCTGGCCCGATAATACGGTCTAGTAACAAAAGAGCATGTACCTTGAAGCTGCTATGTCTGGGTGCAGTCTCAGCGTTTCAGTCTTCCCCGGAATTAGGAGGCGGGGGATGCGATTTTATGGGGGATGCGATTTGTGCCAACTTCATGCACACCCCTAAAGGTCATGTGTTGTTTGTTCCGCACGGCTGTACCTGCCGATTGTCAGAGTCAGCATGAGTCTCATGCTCTCTCTTCTAGTGAAGTGTCGAGGGGATAATGCCTATCTGCTATCTCCTGTTGAGAGTGAGGCCATGGACGTACAAGTGCAAATAACAAGGATGCGAAGCGTGCATGCCACACCTGTCTCCAGAGGCTCCACATATTCATATACTACCATTCTGTAGAATTGGATACCTAAAACCATAATAAGGACATAAGGGTAGTAGATATGGCGCCACAGGGGGTCTGTTGCCTATATTCCCAAAGACGTTTCAGCTCAGCAGGAGCCTCGGCCTGATATTTTTCGGAGCCTGAGAACACCCAAATGCTGCTGCCGTCGATCGCCCGCGCTTCAACATGATATCGTTTGCAGCATACCTGTCCCAGAACATTGCTATCAAACCCTATAAGGCTGCAGCGGCCAAAGTAATGAGCTATTAGGCTTATACATGATCCTACCATTTTAAGTAGCTGGTGCCCCACATGAAAGCAACGTGTAACGATGCCCTGTGCCTCCAACTGTCCAAGGACGTGGATGACGCCCCACTGCACATCTTCTTTGGAGAGAACGCCCTGGCAGACTGGATCTTGAAGAGGCGGACAAGGGTTTCGGGTTACGGGATTAGGGATTCATGTAGGGGATTTTGATAATTAGAATGGGGTTTTGGGGCCCATGATACTATAATTATGATAAGGAACCCGCACAGCAGTATTGGTAATTATTGAGGCCTCTACCCAGACAGAGAACCCGATACCCCTTTATTCAGGAATAGACCTCAAGTCATATAATATTAAGGCCCCTATAATTTAAGTCATATTCCTTAATTAAGGTGTAAAGGGTTCTCTGGGTAGAGCAACCCTAAACCCTAAACCCTAAAAAAGGAGGTTCTGGGTTAGGTTTCATCATCCGGCTGAGGCTCTTCGGCATCGGCTTTGCCTAAGGGTCCAGATGCCTACTAAGTACCCATAGTAGTTCCTTTTTGGGGCTTGTATTTATAGTTTTGTGTGTTTGGGTTTAGGGCTTTTGGGGTTGTTGGGTTTAGGGTTCAGAATTTAGGGTTTGAGGTGAGGGGTCTACCCACAGGCCCCGTAGTAGTTCCTTTTTGTGGCCTATATTTAGGATCCTACTAGGCAATCCCAAAAAGGAACTACCATGGGGCCTATGGGTATTTCCTCAACCTGCAGGGTTTCAATATCGCCCCTAGTTGTTGGACAAGTGGTCGATCAATTAGCGTCTCTGAGTCGGTGAGGGAGTTCTTGGAAAGTGCCCGCCATCTGTGCAGAGACAAAATTATAAAAGGGTTTTTGGGAGTAATCCGCAACCTTTGATCCTAAGCTTAAGCGCTAGACGGTTCGGCTGTCCGGCGCGATTGCCGCAAGTTCGATCAGTAGTTGCTTGAGTCGCTATGCCCAAAAAGTCGAAACTCATCATACATGCCGTGAGTTATGGAAGGCTTGATAATTTTTGGAAACCCCATATGAATCTCTAAGCTGCAGTATGCCACAGGGCGCCAATTACCGAACCAGGGGGTTACTGGGTACAAAAACCATGTTTAGTAGCCAGATTTGCTTAACTGAGTTGTAGTTTTGGGGGCCCTGAAAAGTATTTATGAATATGTACCCGTATAGAAACCGTCAAGAGAATTTCAAAGTTTCGCAAGTTGCCACCTAGTCAAGGTAACGCAGTGGATTGTCATCCTGAGGCCTATATAAACCTTTATAGATGCCTTATCGTACCCCAGATAGTGGGCTTTAGGCTTTAGGCTTCATGGCTTAGTGTTCAGGGTTTAGGGCCTAGGGTTTATAGATGCCATATCGTACCCCTTATAGTGGCCTTATATGAAAGGAACGGAAGTTTCTCAGCGGTATAGGACCCTGTGCTTAACCCTGAAACCCTAAACTCACAACCACTACAAGCCTAAACCGAAACCTCTTGTAGAAATCCTTAAGGGTGCCTTTAATTAAAACACCTTTGCACACAAACCTACAGCAACCCTTGCCTTAAAGGACTCTGCACCTTGCTGATGAGATTGCTCTTGTAACTTGTAACTAGCAGTCCCTATAATATTCGCTCTCCTCTATTACCCCTCACCAGTAGGTCATACGGTCGGCCATGGTTGGAAGACTTGGGGCCTTGTCGACGAGCTTCTCCACGAGAACCTGGCGCTACGGCAGTTGCATTGGGCTTTACGGCTTGAGGCTTGTAGGGTGTAGGGTGTAGGGCCTATCGGGCTCATAGGGCTTTACGGGTTTATGGTCTGGGGTTGTGCAAGGGATTAGGGCTTAGGGTTCGGGGCTTGGGTTCTAGGGCTGCGGCTAAGGACCGGTTCGGGGAATTGCAGCACCCGCGGGAACTACGATCCCTTTCGAAGCCTTACCCAGACTAGGGAGGATCTAGACAAAAGTCGCTCGAATAGGTCAGGAAGTAAGCTGCACCATTTATTAATAACTAGTGAACAGGATAGAAGATCACGCGCGGGCTCCCACCCACGGCAAGCCGACCATCAAACTGCTTGGCCCTGACGCTAAACCCTTAACCCCAGAGAACCCAATACCCCTTAATTACGGAATGGACCTTAAATCATAATATTAAGGCCCCTATAACTTAAGGTATATTCCTTAATCAAGGAATAAACCTTGAATCATAATATTAAGGCCCCTATAATTTAAGGTATGTTCCTTAATTATTAAGGTGTATTGGGCTCTCTGGGACAATCATCCGATTGCACCACTCAGGTTGTAAAGTCTTGGCTACCACAAAGGGCCCATTTACCATATCGTATATACTTGGGCCTTACAGAGCCAAGTGTGGGTACTTTAATTGACCCTAAGGGTCCAAGGAGTCCTTATTTATGGTTTTAGTTACCCAAAAAGGCCCCAAAGTCCTTAAATAATGGGTACTTGGACCCTTAGGTTGACCCTTAGGGTACCATCTTCGTCAGTCTCCGAAGCACCAGGCGATGTTGTACGAGCGCCAGAGTGCCTTGTCCAGTTTGCTTAGGGCTTAGGGGCTTCAGGTTTAGGGTTTAGGGTTCCTTGTCCCCACACGTCAAGGCTCTTTGGCGTGGCAGCTGTTCAGTCTCATCGGCCCTCAGATCTCGATAACGTAGAACCCATGATGGGTGCCCCAGCAGTGCTTTGCCTCGTAACGCTATGGTAAAAGCAAGAGCACCACGAAAGACAAGTCAAGCATTAATTTAAGCCTATAGTGTGGCCTGAACCATATGAGTCCCTCGAACCCCAAACCCTCACGTAGACCCCATCGTAGTTCCTTTTTGTGGCTTATACTTAGGATCCGATTGGGTAATCCCAAAAAGGAACTACTATGGGGCCCAATGGGCTAAACCGTAACCATCAAAGTCCCAAACTTTCACTTTACCCACACAGCCCTGCCCTCGGATCTGCCCTCGAGCGCAGAGAATGCCCTCAGTTTCCCCGGGGTCTGGTTGGAACTTCAAAGTTTAGGGCTCAGGGTTTAGGGTTCAGGGGCCTTGGGGGTTTAAGCGTTTAGGGCTTTCGCGGTTTAAGGTTTAGAGGTTAGGGAGTAGGGGTTGTGGGTTTAGGGTTTTGGTTTTAGAGGTAGGGGTTAGGGTTTGGGGCTTTCGTACTTTCGTGTTTAGGGCTTAGGGTCTAGGGTATAGGGATCGGACACAAAAGCTACAAAAAAGACACACAGACACACAGCCCTAAACCCTAAACCTTTCCAAGCAGGAGGAGGGTTCCTGACGTTCGAGTTTCCTGGACTGTACTCTGCATATGACTGAGCCTTAGGGGCTGAGTACTCTGGCCCAAAAGAATTACTGTAGGGTTTAGGGTTTAGGGTTGCAAAAAGGATAACCTTTTGAAATGTAGTAGGCTTACCCTGACCCTCCAGGTACCTACTAGACAGGGCCCTAGGGGCTCTAGTACCCTATATAGTAGGTACCTGGGGGGTTAGGGTTGTATAAGCCCCCAGAAGGCTGAAGGTTACCTGCTCAGCCCCTGATGAAGCAAAGATGCAAATCAAGCAGGAGTTGTGTGTGTGGCCGTGCAAGAGCCGTCTACCCATAGGCCATAGGCCCCATAGTAGTTCCTTTTTGTGGCTTCTATTTAGGATCCTATTAGGGAATCCCAAAAGGAACTACTATGGGGCCTAGGGGTAGAACAGGATCGCACAAAGCTATGCTCAGCGGGTCCATGGCCTGAGTGCTTAGGTAGGCCCAATGTGGTCTGTTCCCAGAATCCCGAACCCTAAACCCAAAGTCAAATACCAACTCGGCACTTCACGGAAAAACATGCCGGTGGTCACCAAGCAGCGTCTACGACCCGGGGGCGGCCACCTTGGAAAAAACTTGCTGCGAGGATCAGGAGTACAAATACCGATGTAGTACTGAAGCGCTAAAACCCTACAAGCACTAAAACCCCTAAATCGTAAACTGTGAATACCCTCCCGTTTTCTTGGAGTCATGTATATACTGGATGCGCGTCCATCCTCAGCGCTTCACCCCCGAAAACCCTAGAATACTCCTAAGCCGTTTATCACGAGCTCACTGAAAGGCTTGTGGCACAGAGTATTCGGATCACTTGGTTTGGGGTTTAGGGTTCACCTAAGGGTACATGTACTCAGTCAGTATATACTTTGGCTCTAAAGTAGTCCCTATAGTTAGGCACTTTGGGTCAAGATATGTACTATTGGGGTACATGGAGCCTTCAGGTTAAGGTTCATGAAATACCTCCGACGACGCAAAGTGCAATCAAAGGGTCGAGAGTGTAATAAGAGTGCAATATCGCAGCCTGCTTTTCATCTAATCATTCCACACTGGTCAGACAATATAGAAGCGTTCAGCCCTAAGGGTCCATGTACCTAACACTATCTATATAATTATATATACTATAGCCTTGAAGTAGGCCCCATGTAAGGACTCCTTTAAGGACAGAGCATATACTGCATGAGCACGTGGGCCCTGAGGGTGCTACTTAGAACAGGGCTTGGGATAAAGTGAGTTATATGTATACAGGGGTTGAAGGGTTCGCCTGACTATTTAGACCCTGCGCAATTCTATATGGGACTTTCCGAAAATTAGGGGTACCTTATTTTGGGGTCCTTATAATAAGGATCCTACTATTTAGGGTACTATATTAGAGTCCCCTATTTTCGGAAAGCCCCATATCGTCCTAGCCAAAAGGTTCACGGACATTGGTTTCGATCGGGCTTGAAACTGCGGAACAGCTGGACCCTCAGTGTACGGTCGGTCCTTGTGCATGTGTTTTGCACAGGCTTGTGCGTGCACTTGCGCGTAAACGAGAAACCACCTGTCAATTAAGGTCACAAGTTGAATTAGCATTGAAGTGCTACAACACACACATACATGCATACACATGTTATGTGTGTATGTATGTATGTATATATATATATATTGTAGACAGAGGCAGCTATAGGCTATAGTTACATACAAAGATCTGATCTTCTGAGTGCTTAGGCACTCAGAAAGACGTGCCCCACGAAAGGATTTACAAGAGGATCTGCAGCCGCAAACCTAAAAGAAACCCGATAGCCCTAGAGCCCTGTGATGTGCCACGGCCTGTGGTTGAGGAGATGAGGGCCCCTAAACCAAAAACCCTAAACCCCCAAACCCTAACTAGCCAAAACCCTACCCTAACGCTCATGGACCCCCATAGTGAAAGCCCAAACCTTAGCCCCCAAAGCCCAAACCTGCGCCTAGAAAGCCCATAACAGCAATAAGAGCCTTCGGGTAGACCCTAAGCGCAACGTTCTCGATTCTGAGCCCTGGAGAAGCTTGAAGATGAATTTGGGCATCCTCAGCAAGAACTACATGAAACAAAGTCTTAATTAGGATAGGGTTCCTTACAGGGTTCCTTAAAGGCTTCGGGTGTAGGGTTTAGGACAAGGGACTTTATGATTAGAGTAGGGTCGTGGGAGTATTCGGTCTTCAGACTCACCGCTAAGCTGCTTTGAATTAAAATTTTAAGTTGCTGCCCAATCTGTAGAATGTACTGCCAAAGGAGGAAGAGCACCCTAAACCCTAAACTCTGAACCCTAAGCTGCCCCTCCAGCCAAAAAGAGCCGTTCTCCTCTTCGAAAAACTTCAGACATCTCCAGAACCGTATTCATGCTCTACGGGAGAACGACACAGGTAACGTACGGCAAGATAGCCAACACCTTAACCTAACCCTCAAACCCGAAACCTGAAATCAAACCCTAAACACCAAAGAATGCCAAGGCGACTGCTCCAGCGATGCGGAGAGGGCCCGCTTAACAAACTCATGGCGGCACTGTTGGGCCTGGGTTAGGCTTTTGATCGGAAGGGCCCCAAACCCTAAACCCTAAACTCTAAACCTCTAAACCCTAAACCCCTATGGGGTTGCAGAACCTCGCTCACGGTATACGGGTTAATTAAAGAATTAGGTTTATGATCCTGGCACGACCTGATATAGGGGGCCTAATGATGAGAATAGGGTTTCGGGTCATATTATATACTACGAATTTGTAAGAAGGACCCCCCTAAAAAAAAAAAAAAAACTAGTAGACCAACCCTAAACCCTAAACCGGGCAAACAGCATAGGTAACTATGAAGGCCGCTAGATAAACACCATCTGCCCCGAGGCACGCTTGAAGGTGGCAGAGGATACTGTAGGGGTTTCCTCTAGGGGGCCTTAATGATGAAGATAGGGTTTGGGCGGTCCTTTATAGTATACAAAAAGAATAAGGAAGCCCCAAAATAGTATAGGTCCTTTATAGTATAAATATAATCTTGAAACAGCCTTCGTGCCTTC